CCCCAAAACCCCAAAACCCCAAAACCCCTATTTGTTTAAGAAATATTGAAAATGAATAGTTATGAATCCTCGAAGAGATGCACAATTCCAAAGGAAGCTATTATACTTCCCAGTAAGACTCCGAAGACATAGAATATTCATAAGAACTTAGAGGTAATTCTTCTATCTGAATTCTTAGCTTTATTAACTCCAATAGTTAGTTGACAGTTAGAAATATACCCGTTAGTCAGACCAATGAGACAGATATTTAGTATCTTTACTGCATCATTATGGAAAAATGGGATTCGGAAAGCTGATAGAAAGCTAGCTATTATCAGAGCCCATCTTCACCTATATTATGAGAGTTAAGGAAGCAATAAAGATTAACTTACATAGTAGCAACAAAGGTGGTCTTCTCTGTCAGTATCATATATCTTTCCGATGTTGCCCTAGAGAGAGTATCTGTGAGGTTGAACAACGTAGTAATTATCCAAACTTGCCAAGCGATACTGTTGATAAACCCAATGCCTCCTTTAAGCAAAACTCCAGGAAATATCATCATTGTTTGGATAAACACTATTCAGTTTCCATACCCAGTCAGCAACAGTGAGTTATGGATCCTCATAAAATACTGTAAAGAATATCATTCCTCTTCATCTTCTTCAGTTGCAATCATTCTTTCATGAAGATCTTGGTTTTGGACCATAATTCCTGATTTGATTCTTGAGTCTGCTCATATACCTTCTTGTAAGGTTTTGCTACGAATATCACAATAAGGTACTGAAGAGAATTTCAAAAGAATTCCTGATGAAACTAAAGAAATAGCACCTAAGCCGAAATATAGAAGCGAGCCATAGAAATAGTTGGTATCCTCAGAGTTTCCATTTGTTGGGAAGATTATCAATGAAACTGCACGTACTATGCTGATGCTAACTCCACTCACTCCTGATCCTGTATTCAGTGTAGCTGTATAGTTTCCTGGTGTAGCACCTGCTAATCCAAAACATCATAATTGCATGATTCCGTTAGCAGCAGATAAGATAAGAATAGTAACAGAAACTCAAATCCAAGAACTCTCTGGATTATTCAAAAGTTGAGGAAAGAGCGGAAGAGTTACAGTCAATAAAGTCATGGCAATCATAGAGATTAGAATTACTTTCCTATCTGAAAAACAGTACCCAAAAAGGATGGTCAGGATACTTGTCACAAATAATGGCCCATTAGACAAGATAGATACCAAAAAGTCAACATCATGTCATGGAAGTTTGACAATAAAGTAATCTAAGGCTGTTACCAAGGAATTCCATGGAAATACCATGGTGACGCCAAGCAACAGGAATGTGCTGTATGTCCATCCTGGATGACTAGATTTGGGGACTTGTTGTTCGGATATACCATCAAGCATTGATTATGTAAATTCTGGTTAGAAATATTTATATTCGATATTTAAATTTTACCCCATAAAAAGGGGTTTTGGGGTTTTGGGGTTTTGGGGAGAT